ATACATGGTCTTGGGTACACTCCCCGCTTCATAGACATACCTATTTGTTCAGCCTGTCCACCCATCTATCCACCCATAGATCAGTGTTTGCCTTCACTGACAGCGTAGTACTGTATGTGCAAAAGCGTTCATCTTTGTTGTCTGTACTTCCTATGCACCTCTGTCTGTTTTCCTGTTCTCAAAGCCACTGTGTTGATCGCTCACATTTGTTACATTGCCCTTCTCTTCACCCAAATCAGTACTTGTCTCTACCTATCTAGCAGTGTTCTCTCCCTTTCCCTCCCACCCCTGGTAACCAACAAAGAAAATTTCCTTCCATATATAAACCTTTCCTTGACTTTTTACAGTAACAGACTAATACAATATTTGTCCTCCTGTGATTGACTTATTTCACTCATCATAATGTCCTCCAAGTTCATCCACATTTTGTGGTGTTTTGCAGATTCTGCATTATTCTTTAGGATTGCATAGTATTCCATTGTGTGTATGTGCCATAGTTTGGTTATCTGTTCTGTTGATGGGCACCTAGGTTGTTTCCATCTTTTGGCTATTGTAAATAGCTGTGATGAACATGGGTGTGCATATGTCTGTTCTTCTCCTGGCTCTCACTTCTTTAGTAATGGAATGGCTGAGTCAACTGGTATTTCTGATTTCAACTTTTTAAGGAATTGCTGTACTGCTTTCCACAGTGGTTGTATCATTTTACAGTCCTACCAGCTGTGTGAGAGTCCCAGTCTCTCTGCATCCTCGCCAGCATTTGTTATTTTCTGTCTTATTGAACTTTGCTGCTAGTGCTGGGGCAAGATGGTATCTCCTTGTTTGGATTTGCATCTCTGTAATGGCTAATGATCATGAACATTTCTTCATAAAGACTGTATTCTTAATGAAAGGATAACATGATTACCTGTCTAAAACCAGGAGAGTTATTGTCAGTGCTGGTTCCTAAAATATTTCAAGTCTATTTGTTTATGTAGGTGGCGATTTTATGTCAGTTCCTCAGAGAAATTGACTACAAAACAGCCTTTAAATCACTGCAAGAACAAAACAGGTATGAATGATTTTTAAAATAAGATGGAGGTGAGATTTCTCACTTAAGATAAAGAAGTAGTAATTGAATTCTGTTTTTCAGTCATGATGCTATGGACTCCTACTATGACTACATATGGGATGTTACCATTTTGGAATACTTGACTTGTATCCTTTCATGAAAATGCATGATGTTAAAACAGTTTATTTTTGTAAATTAAAGAAGTATATGTAATATTGTGTATTTTTCACATCAAAACTTGAAAACAATTGAGATTCTGTCATCTGTAATCATACTGGATGCATTGTTCTTAACTGATTCATTTAGATCTTCATCATAAAAGAGGAGAAACAGATAAAAGACAAATTGCGGTGAGTTACCTCAGGCCTTTTTTTGTGATTAAATAGATTTGAATTAAATAAGAAGAGGTTTTGTGTGCCTAGTTATTGCCAGAATTTGGCTAATCGTGTTTATTTTTTAAAAGATCTCTGGTAATATTTAAAACATTAGATCATGTCATTTTTCTGCTCCAAAACTGCAAATGGTTTCCCGTCTCACATAAAGTGAAAGTCCTTAAAATGGCCATGAAGGTCCTTTGTGATTTGCCCTCCAGCTACCCATCTGAGTACTCTTCTTTAAATACGCCAAGAACATTTATCATCTAAGGGCCTTTGGAATTTTCTCTGCAGATAATATTAACTTCCCTTGATTCTCTCATCTAATGTCACCTTTTTAATTATCACCCTTCCCTGATGATCTTATAACAGTGCCCTTGCTCTTTTTCCCTTCCAATACTCTTACACTCATTTCTTTTAAATTTTCTCCATAAAACTTACCAGCAACTGACATATATTTATTTATTTATTATTTCCCTGCAAGGGTAGGAACTTAGTTTTGTCACTGCTGGTACATACTTAGTAGTTACTGAATGGATGAATGATTAAATTTGACTACAGGTCCAAACATTCTTTTTCAGTTGCTCGAAATTTGCTGCATTTATACCATAATATCCTCCTTGTTCTTTCACTCTTTTTAGCAAAAGTATATGCTGTTTATTAAATTTTCTTTCTTTCTTTCTTTTTAAGTTTCCTTTGTCTTTTAAAGCTTTAGAGTTGGACTTAACTCTATGGTCATTTAGGAAAAACAATATAGTGTCGTTTCATTTTTTGAAAAAACAAAACACAAAGCTAGTTCCATCTAATTGGAGGCTACTTATTGTCTCATTCCCCATTCACCTGGTGCTAGAAGGGAAAATTGAAAACTTCCTGGACCCTTTATGCTATTTCCAAGCCATCTTTCCATGTATCAGTTTTAAAGGTCTTTCTCCTTTGAAGCTTATATACCCACCTTCTTAGTAGCTTATCTCACGGCCTACATGCGTGCAGACATGTGTTCACCTTATTCCACACCCCCAGCTTTTCAGGTCCTTGAATGAAGCCTTGGTCCATTGTCATCCTTACTCTGCTTTAGCCACCCTTACCCACATTGTTAATTGTTAGGTGCCAATGAATAAATTCCAACTCAAAGCGAACCCTTGTGACACAGAAATGCCCCGTAGGGTTTTCTAGGTTGTAATCTTTATAGGAGCAGATCCCCCAGGTCGTTCCCCTGCAGAGCTGCTGAGTGATTCAAACTGCTGGCCTTTCAGTTAGCAGCCAGGCTGCTTAACCATTTCGCCACCACCAGTATCCAAGCCTCATTGGCTTATTGGCAGCCCAATTTGTCTTGTGTGATCCCTCTCCTTCCCTGACTTCTTGGCTCCCATGCTTCTCTTGATAACTGAAATGTTCAGGTTTGTGACCAGTTTTTAGCCCCTCCCAACTTCCCCTCATTCTCTACTCACCCCAAGTATAGCAATTACCAGTCTATATGTACTTTCCAGAGATACTGATTCAGTCAGTATGAGGTGAACCCCTGAATCCAGTATTTGTATGCCAGGTGGTTTTAATGACAAACCCGATTTGGAAACCACTGCTGTCTAAGGTTTACTATCAGACTACTGTGATCAAGTATCTTAAGCATCTTTGTTTTTCTATTCATCACCGTACCTGGAAAAATTTCAATCCTGAATCACTAATAATTTATACTTTTCTTTTCCTAGGCTACTGAGTCCTGTTAGAGGAAGATGTCCTATCCTGTATTAACTGGTGCCAGTCCACAGTATCTAACCTTAGCTGGTCCTTCAGTTCTTAGTTGTTTTACCACCTACTAATTAACAGTCTGCATTCTTTCAGGGACTGTTTTAGGTTTTTCCCCCCTCAATATCCCTACCCATTTTTACCTGTTCAGTTCTCAGTAGTTTCTTTGCCTCTTACATGTTTGGGATAAACCAGGAAAAAGGCTAGTCAGACTAATCCCTGTCCTCATGGAAGTCTTGGGAATTATGGCCTAAGGAATACCAGCTCAAATTCCTGTTTCCTTTTAAAGTAATCTACAGCTATATTCATCATTAAGCTCACTTTTCCAGTCAGAAGACATATACCACTCCATGAAGAAGACAAGTCTTAATTAAGCTTTGATTTCATCCTCTTAGGGACCTTTCATTAGTTATGCCCTCTCCTATATCGTTAACCTCTTGCACAGGCTATAATTTTATCCTTAATAGAAAAACTTCTTGATTATGCTTCCCCCTCCAATTGTCCATCATCCCTTCATTGTCTAGTTTTGAAACTTGAACCCAGTGCAATTTGGCTTCTGTTGTCACCCCTCTTAACTGGTATCAGGATCACCAAATGCCAAAGCCAGTGGATACTTTTTATCCTTATCCTACTGTTTACCTCTCCCTTCTGTCTTAAAAAAACTTACTCCTGTGGCTTCCCTGGCCACATTTTTTTTTCCACCTCCTTCTTCCTTTTCCTTCCTTCCTTTTTCATGGGTATCTCCTTCTGCTCATGCCTCAAATTTGGTATTCCCAAGGGGTTAGTCCTTGGTTTATTAATTTTTAAAAAATCATTCTATATTCTGGGTAATCTCATCCACTCTGGTTTTCACTGTTACTCATAGGTGATATAGAGTCTATCAAAACCTGGCTGTTTCAGTTTGTTTTATACTTGGGACTTCTGCAGCCCACTATCTTTGGGCTTTATTTGTTTAAAGTAGTTCTTTAGTTACACCCCACTACCAGCTTTTACCACAGGCATTCCCCTTCGTTTGGATGGCATCATCCAGCAATGTTCCCTGCGTCCCTAACATCCTGTGTTTAATTGATGACCATTTCTGAATAGTATTTTCTCCCTTCAAGCCATATATCAGAAAAGTTTGCTGTTTAAAGAAGTTCTAATTGGTTTTTTGCAATTATTATGTAAAAGTTGATTCTAAGTTTCTAAAGTGTACACTCACTAAACACTCCATAGCAAAATGATACTATAGATTTGTAGGAGGTTGAGACATTTCTTTGTCATTCTGAAAGAAGCTGAACATTATATGCTACTACACCACTGAGCAACTAGATATTTTTGCACGTTAAAAAAGTGAAGCTCTGAAACAGAAATGTGATTTTTGAAAATATTTTATAGAAATCTTAAATATTTAATTCCAATTTACATGTAAAAATGTTCTCATTTGTCAAATTACCATATAGAGCTTACTTGTATTCTCAAACTTAGATGAACTTAATGTAATAATAATGTCACTGAAGGTAATTCCATAAATGTTTTAGAAATTAGTCTTTTCTTGAAGTTACACCCCACTACCAGCTCTAGTCTTTGTGTTAATTTTTTCACACCTCTTAGGTTTTACAGTTAGTTTTAATGATTAACCGAACTTCTAAATTTATCACGGTTAGCATATGGATAATTTTGTATTATGTACATTAGTAAGACTTTATTTGACCGCATGACTGATAACAGCACTTTTCTGTTTTGAAAGATGAAAGCCATTGGCCAGACAGAGCTGAATGCAAGCAATCCAGAGGAGGTGTTACAGCTGGCGGCACAAAGAAGGAAAAAAAAGTTTCTCCAGGCAATGGCAAAACTTTACTTCTAAGCACTTAGTTCAGATTTTTACATTTTTATTTTTTAAACAGTGGCCTAAAAATAAACAGAATTAAAAGAGTAAGTTGACATAATACATATGTACACATTTAGTGGTGCTTTCTTTTCAAATAAAATACTGAAACAAATACTACTTAAAAGAAAAAACAAAACAAACTATACAGAAGACTTTCTACCATAAAAATAGCTTTATCATTTCTCCAAAAGAAGAGAGTCACATTTCAGGTAACAGAATGAACTAGTAATCTAGTATAATTTTTTTTCTAAATCCACTTTTGAGGCTAAAATTCATTAAAAACAAACCTAACAAGATAATTATGTAGAAGTAGCTAGTTTATGTACAGCTAGCTCTCATGTCAAGTTTTTTTTTTTTTTTTAAAGTAATAAATAGATTTCTAGGAGTCAGTATACATTTAGTACTCTTCTGCCTTAAGAAAATAGAAATTTAGGTCAAATGTTAAACTTTTATCACTTTGACACTGTCCTTATCTCATAATGTAGATTTTTTCAAAGAGCCTTAACAATTTGAGGGACATAAATAAAGCTGGAGTAACACAAAATTTTAAAATAAAAGAAAGAAAGAAAATCCTTAGGGACATCTTAGAGTAATAAAGTGACTTTTTTATATAAATAGTTTTAAAAGGTACTTAAGTTTTTTACCCAAATTGTGGTATAAAGCAACCTGTGTGTCAAATAAGCCTAAGCAGGAGCACAGCGTTTATGCTGTTTATAATTTCTTTGGTACTCCCACTGTTTAGAGCAGTTTAAACACCATGTTCATCTAAGCCATTCTTACTGCTAAAAAATACATTATGGCAAGGCAGATGAACTAGTTGAAAAACAGATTAAAGTTTACAATTTGTAAAAATTCAAGTTTTATAACAGCTTGCTATAGCAGCTGTAGATAAATTAGTTACCTTATTACACAACTAAACCTTTGTAAACAAGTTTAAATTTTATTTTTAAGAACCAAATTGCACTAGTCAACAGTGCATGAATTCTGAGAATCTGAAAGCTAGATTCAAAGCACTACATCACTTAATGTACCCTTTAAGGTAGTACTTATCTAGTCCAAAACGCCAATAAAATCCCTAGTTTATCAAAATAAACACAGTAACACTAGATATAAGAAAAATGTTGCTACAGCATAAATTGCAGCTGGCTTCCATCCAGTCACCTTGGGAATGAAGTCATCTTTGTAAACAATCCTGCTGTTTCTTTAATTGCTAACACAGGAATTAAATTTCTCCTTTAGCACCAATTTTCTTTTAATCAAAGAACAGCAGTATACCTTCTGAATTGGCTAGGACAATCACAGCAGTATTTTGGTATAAACTTTAGTAGTTCATTTGTATGAAGTTCTACCATATACTTGGTCAATTTCATTCAAACTGTCTGCTTCCTCTTCTTTAGTGTTTTCCTGGTGGTTTTTCAGTGCTCTTTGGTGGTGTCATGATGCCTCCATTGTATACTGGTGATAGCTGTCCACTTTTTCTGAAAGTGTTTACATAATTTACTTCATCCTGTACATAGAAGAAATCATGCAAAGATTCACAGCTAAGACAAAGCACTGACACAGTAAAATAAAATCAAACCAGAGAGCTGGACATTGACTTGAGAGTACTTAGACCTAATATATTGGTCTCTTATGTCTGTGTAACTGAATAGTCATATTCTCAGAGTTCAACAGTTTCAACTGCCTATAACTATATATATATTTTTCGTCTTACTTGGGCTGTTGGCATTGATTTTGAGACAATTTAAAAGTCTTGCTTTGACTTCTAAGTTACTTTATTTTTCTAAATTTTGAGATCAGTATGTCTACAGAACCTACTTGTCATCTTATGTAACTGCCTAAAGTATTATTCCAGACCATCCTTATTATCAGCTTCTATGGCTACTAGATAGGAGCTCTGGTAGCATAGTGCCTAAGGCACTTGACTGCTAACCAGAAAGCTGGTGATTGAAATCCACCAGCCACTCCTCAGAAGGAAGATGGGGCAATCTACTTCCGTAGTGATACTGCCTTGGAAACCCAAGGAAGGGTCGCTATAAGTTGGGTCCGACTTGACGGCACATAACAACAACAACAACAACATGGCTACTAGATAATAAGACCAAAAAACTCCACAGAAAACATACCAGCATAACCAGGTAATTGGAGTGTGTCTGGATATTGTGTCTATCTTCCACAGGAATCTTCTTAAAAGCCTTCAGCTTCACTGGACTAGCACCTTTTATTACATTGACAAAAGGCACCATCCAGTCTACACATTCAGAAATGTTGTCCCATTCCAAACCTAAAGAAAAGTTAGAAAAAATGTGAAGATTACATCAGAAACTAACTTACGACTAATGCACTGCATCTATATTTTATTAGTTATTTAAAACTCATTATTAAAAGAAGCCAAAATCAAAAGGTTTAATAAATCAAAATGAAGTATCACTCTTAAACTATGTTTATATTATGACTATTTTGAAGGGGAAAGGGACTTCAGGTTTTCTTTACTATTTCTACATACGAAGTTCTCAATCTCAGAGTAAAATTATGTCATTTCACTTCAAATATCTTTTAGTTTCATTTCACCTTATTTTGTAATTTGTGCTTCTAATAGAAAGAAAGATAATCACTAAGCCATTAAAGTGCTTTTGCTGAAGTTTTAAATTCATATTTAACAGGATGCTAAAATTCATAGATTAAGAGTCCCTTTCAAAGCTGTGAACAGGTGAGACACTAACAATGAGGAATGTTACCTGAAGCTTTCTTAACCACTTCATTAGAGGTAAAATGGCACAAGGCGGCAGCAGCCAGTATTCTGTACTGAAACTCCAAGGAATCGATGGCTAGAATACACAGATCCAAAAGCTAACAAAGGAAAAAGCAAAATTATAAATGATTGAGGAGGAGGATGAAGACTACATGTTCCTCCTAAACATCAGTAAACTAATACTTAGAATGCTCATTTGACCTTATTCCAGGAATTGCTAACGCTCTAGGGATCCAGAGCTAAATAACCCACCACCCAGAAGGAAAGGAGGTCTGGTGGCATCGTGGTTAAAGCACTGAGCTAACCAAAAGGTTGGCAGATTGAACCCACCAGCTGCTGTGCAGGAGAAAGATGAGGCAGTCTGCTTCCATAAAGATTTACAGCTTTGGAAACCCTGTGGGCAGTTCTACTCTGTCATACTAGGTTACTATGAGTTGGAATCAACATGATGGCAGTGGGGTACCCAAAAGAATTCAAGGCTTGTGATTGTGGGTCAGGGAGGGAACAGACAAGTTAAAAGTGTTGTGATGCAGTTGATGTGTCCTCGTAGTAGGAAGGACATCTAATCCCAATTAGGGAAGACAGTGAAGGCTTCTGATGCCTTAAATGAATGAAAAGACAAGGTAGTCAGTCGGAAGATAGGGAAATAGATTCTGAGTATAGAAAAGAGCATTTGCAAAGTTAAATGAGAAAACATTACTTAATACTTTTCCTTGGAACTGAAGTAGTTCAGAACTAAGGTTAAAAATGTGAAATAAATGTATTTTCTTTATTTCTTACTGAAAAAAAAAAAAAAAGGCTGCCTTGGCATGTGGCCTACACTAGATCATAAAGGGTCTTCAGTATTAGAAGTCATAACTTGATAGGCTGATTATTGAATGTATTGGAGGATTTCCAAGAAGGAGGATTTCCAAGAAAGGTCCCTCAGACTGCAGTGAAGCAGACAGACTAGAAGGGAACATATTTATAAATACAGAGATTAGTTAAGAGGGAATATAATCCAAGCAAGAAAGCTGAACAAGTAGCAGTGGATGGAGTAAAAGGGCTAGATTTCAGAGGTCTAAGGTAATGCCTTTATTCCAGTGGAATAAACTGTTTTCCCCATGGTTCTTTTATTCCAATAAAAGAATTGGACGTGAAAATTATTTATTATTCAGTAGTATTTAGTTCTCGAAATGGTTTCTACATTAGCAGATTATCAGTGGTCATCACTCTCTATCAAAAAGGTTTATTTGCCTATGACTGTCTAGGATGCTGGGAATTGTAACTGGAGAACTTAAGTCTTAATTAGAAAGTTTTACAATTCCAGTATATTTAATGGTTATCTAATTTTAGTATTCATAATGTTCCGACTAGATTTAAAACACAAATTTCAACCTAGGTTACTTAATACCCCATAGTACCACATTCCTTAAATTCCATATGCAACATTTTCACAGCTTACATAAAATGTAAATTTTTTTTTTCCTTTTATATATGGTAGCAGCTCTGGTAGTGCTATGGTTAAAACACTGGGCTGCTAACGAAAAGGTCAGCCATCTAAACCCACCAGCTGTTCCATGGAGAAAGATAAGGCAGTCTGTTTACATAAAGATTTACAACTTTGGAATCCCTATGGAGCAGTTCTACTCTGTACTATATAGGGTCTCTGTGAGTTGGAATCAACTCGATGGCAGCTTTAGGACACATCTTATGAGCAGGCAAGAAAGAATGGAACCCTTTCTAATTAGTCACTTTGTTAAAAAGTCTGATCTGTTTAGGCCTGTTGTTGTTATGTGCCGTCGAGTCAGACCTGACTCATAGCGACCCTTCCTTGGGTTTCCGAGGCTGTATCACTACGGAAGTAGATTGCCCAACCTTCTTTCCAAAAATTTAATTTGAACTTTAAAAAAAAAAAAGTTAAAAAACCCTATTAACAAAATTGATTTTTATTTTAATGTATAACTTAAGTAGGCACTCATGTACTTAAATACAAAGAGTAAGATAATCATACAGAATAATTTTCTACCATTATAAAAAGACAACTAATTGGAAAATACCTTTCCCCCCATTTTATATCAAAAAGGTATTTAACTCTAGTTTGGGCTCCTAAAAAATGGAAAGTACTCACAAAAGTTTAAAGACTCTGTTTCTTAGAACTATTAAAAAGCAGAAATACTGGGAACAAAATTTTATGCATCAAGTTTTGTTGTAGTCAATTAAGAGTGAATTTAATTCAGAATGCTGTAATTTTGCTGTACGGCCTATACATAAACATAGAGGCTCTGCATATACTAAACAGATTCTGTAATTACCAATGACATCAGCATGTATTCAATTAAAATGTTGATACCTGAGCTATTTGGATGAACTTTTCCTGAGAATACTGAGGTAGGAGAACTTTAGGAGCATCTTTAAGAGCATCAACTTGGAGGAAGAGATTTAGCCAGGAGATGATTGTTACAGGACAAAGTTCCCATTTTAAAGCCTGTTAATGAAATTAAAAATGCTTGTTAATAAATGTAGGTACATATACCACAATCTATAGCTAATTTATTAAAACAGTCATTTAAGAAACTTACTCTGCTCAAAGCTTACTTCTTCCTAGGAGTTCATTAGTTTAATTAATGAACTTTCACTTTTATTAAAAATATATGTTGTTGTTAGATGCCGCTGAGTCGGACCCAACTTATAGCGACCCCTCTTTGGGTCTCTGAGGCAGTATCACTACAGAAGTAGATTGCCCCATCTTCCTTCCGAGGAGTGACTGGTGGGTTTGAACCGCCAGCCTTCTGGTTAGCAGTCAAGTGCCTTAGGTACTATGCTACCAGAGCTCCTTTAAAAATATATTGAGACATCTTAAAATCTAAAGCTGCATGTGTTTTACAAAGTCTTGTTATTGATAAAATATTATTATTCCCTAATTGTCTTTTTATTTACAAAGTTCAGTGAGCCTGTTTGTTCCTGGTTTTTCAGTTTCTTCCAGCCCCTGGTCTCCTAGATCCATTCATATCTTTAGTGAAAGTGCCCTCTTAAATTGTAGTTAGTGACTTCTTCATGGCTGATTCCATTTGCATCTTCTAAGAACTGCCTCAACTATTCCTTCTTTCAGCGATCTAATGGCTTTTGGACAACATATAAAAGTTTGAAAAAAACTCAAAACAAAACACCCTAACATGGTATTTTTACCTCCTGCAAGTCCTGGGATCTCATAATTTACAAGAAGTCTAAAACAGTTAGGAGGGAACAAAGAGTAATGTTTGTAGGACTGCCCCTAGAACTTCATCTTCTTTTTCTATCTTCCTTGGTATAGTCAGCTGTATGTACTTCAAGTCTAAATCTGGATAAGCTGTAGCTGGATAACTGTTTTTTTTTTTTTTTTTTTTTAATTAAAACAGTATCAAATGCCAATAAGGTCTCATTCTGCTAGCTGTCAATCAGAATGTTTGCAGTAAGCTAGAGAGATTTTGTAAATGAAGCAATGTATCAATCATGTTTTAGTGTCCTATTTAGAAATACATGGTATCCAAATTTAATTACTTAAGGGGCTAACATTTACCTTGTTAATCTCTAATTAAGGCCTGATTAAAAACATATTTATGTTTCTCTTCTCCACCCTTCTATTAATAGCCCTTTCTCTGCATACAGAAAGAAAGAAGTGAAATAATTCTGTCTGCTAAAAGGGCCATAAGAACTAAGATTTGAGAATAATTACAGACTTCATACCTACTTGTACAGAAAATGGTTGTCCTTAATCACTTTTAAATTAGGAAAATAATGTATTCTCAATATAGGAAACTTCAACGATAGAAAAAAGTAGAGTGTAGAGGATAAAAATCATCCATAAAATCACCTTCCTAGCTGGAACCACTGTCAATATTTTGATACATTAACTTCTTAGAACTGCATTCTAATAATAAAGCCTGCTTTTATTATTTACATTGTAGTCTTTGAAATTCAATAATAACTATTGTATTACTTAGTTGCAACTGGAAATAACACTTACTATTTACCTTCAATATAAAGAGTTCCATCCTTAAGATATCCTCTTCACTGCAAGCACCATCAGTAACATAGGCAAACTCATGGAGCTTAGGAGCATAGATTTCCTTAAAATAGAATTTTTTTAATAAGCACAATTGAGGTTTTGAACATAATTATACACTAACCACAGACTTAATTTTTTTTAAAGGAGAGCTTCACAAAGTGATTACAAATCTTAGAAATGATCCAAAATAAAATTCTACAATAGCCAAACCACCTTATACATCAAAATATTTTTCATATCTAGACATCTAAATTGAGAAGTCTGGTGGTGTAATGCCTAAGGCATTTACCTGCTAACCAGAAGACTGGTGGTTCAAACTCACCAGCCAGTCCTCAGAAGGAAGGCTGGGCAACCTACTTCCGTAGTGATACCGCCTCAGAAACCCAAAGAGGGGTCGCTATGAGTTGGATCCAACTCGACGGCATTGAGTTTGTTTTTTTGGTTTGTTGTTATATGCTGGTTTAGACATCTAAATTACCCACTACATTGATTGTAATGACTCATTTTGATAGAATTGCCCTTAAATCTTAGCTAATAAATGACTAGAGAATCTTATTTACAAAGTTTATTGAGCTTGCTTGTTCCTGCTTTTCATTTCCATTGAAAAGGGAAAAAATGCCAAACAAAATTTAAGACTGCCTAGTATGTTGGTCTGATCAGACAAGGCACTCAGTAAATTAAGGTCTAGAAACTAAAACCATTTCTTTTAGTCTAGTACAAAAGTATCATTAATGGAAAAATACTTTGTGCAGTTTGGCTGACAGGTCTGTTTTAATAGTCTAGAGAATGAAAAGAAGAAACAGGCTAAACATTAGGATTTCAACCTAGAAAGATACCTGAAGCACAGTATGATTTCAGAAAAGGACAGACCGAATACAATCTTACTCAAATGTGGCAAAATTTGAGTATAGGCTTAAAGCTCAAAAGAGACACGTTTTTTTGGGAAAAAAAAAATACACTTAAGAAAATTGACGTGTGATTCTAATCCCTCTCCTATCCTCAAAATGATACAGGCTGCAAAAATTTTAGATAAAAGTATTGATGATACCTTTAAGGTACTGTTTAAGAAAAAGTATTTTCTTTTAGTCTTCTGAGATTGTGTGAAAGAAAATTTTAGGAAAGGAGTTGCTTTCTGCCATGGCACCACCATCAGATACAGAAATATTAGAATGGATAAAACACTGCTGTCACCCAACATAGTATCTGTTTCATTCAATTGGTTGTTTAGTTTTCAAAGCATTCTATTGAATCCAAGTGCCATAATTATGCATAGAGAGACAGTTTCTGTATATGTGGCAGAATGAGCCATGGAACAGATATTAATTCCAGAATCTAAACCAAAGATTTATAGTAGGTTCAGCCTATCAATAGTCTAAGAACTATGATAACCTATTCTTAAATCCTCATAATGTTGAGAAAATGTATTAAGGAAAAAAAACCACTGAGCTTTATAAAGGAGTTAGTATGAAAAATACAGTATTCTCTGGGATTAACATGTTAATTAAAAAACCCAAAAGTTTGGAATTAATATATCAGTGGATACCCTTTAAGAACTCACCTCAAGTTTGGAAGCAATGAATAAAGAGGTAATTCCAATGAGCTGAAGCATATTTTTATTTACATCCTTTTGTGTCAACATAAATCTATCAAAAAAGTCTTGTGCAAGATAAAATGTTTCCCTATGAAGTGTATATACTTCACACACCTAGAGAAGAATCCAAACATTAAATATAATCATCTAAATTTCTCCAAATTAGAATGTCATCTCTTAGCATTCCACACTTTAGTCAAACTTTGTTTCTTTAGAATACCAAAGCTAAGATAGGACTTTCTTCCTGGGTACCTCTGAGGGGACAGGAACCTCCAACTTCTCATCTATCAGCTAAGCACATTAACTGTTTGCCTCATCAATAGGATATAACTCTCTATTTTTGTTGTTAGGTGCCATCATGTTTGTTCCAACTCATAGTGACCCTGTAGCAACTGAATGAAACACTGCCCAGTCCTGTGCCATCCTCACAGGTGTTGCCCTGTTGGACCCATTGTTGCAGCCACTGTCTCAGTCCATCTTATTGAGGGTCTTCCTCTTTTTCACTAACCCTCTACTTGACCAAGAATGATGTCCTCCAGGGACTGGTCCCTCCTGATAACAGGTCCAAAGTGCGTGAGATGGTCTTGCCATCCTTGTTTCCAAGGAACGTTCTGGCAGTACTAAGTCTATCACCATCCTCATTTCTGTTTTATGGTTTTTTCACATGGCACTTAGTATATTGATTCCTAGATACATGTACACTTTTTGCTGATTGTGAATGAGAAATCTCAACATTGTGTTTCCTAATTGTTTACTGCTGCTATACAGGTAAGTGCTAATGCTTAGTTCCTATTCTGACTTATGCTGTAGTTCTAGCTGATTCTCTTCATCATTTTTAGTAGACATTTGACTTCCAAATGCCAAGTGTGTTCCTTTCAACGTTTTTATCATTTATTTTTCATGTGTTACTGCTTTGGCTAAGAACTATAGAAGAATACTAAATGAACAAGTTGTTATGTGCCGTTGAGTCAGACCTGACTCATAGCAACCAAGGCGGTATCACTATAGAAGGAGATTGTCCAACCTTCCTTCTGAGGATGGCTGGTGCGTTTGAACCACCAGCCTTCTGGTAGCAGTCAAGTGCCTCAGGCACTATGCTACCAGAGCTCCCACAAGTTAGTGATAGACAAATCTTTATTATATTCTTTATTTCTTATTTCAGTGGGAATTCCTCTAATGGTTCACTATTCTTGATAAATAGTAGCTGTTATTTCACTTATTATAAGGGAAAAGTTAAGGAAAGTCTTTAATTCTCCCAACTGTGAAATAGGTACCATTCCCATTCCCATTTTAGAGATGAGAAAACACAAGTATAGAGAGAAATACAGTTTCTGATAAATACTTAATTGTGTTAAGGAAGTCACATATTCCTAGCTCAGTACATACTTTAAATTCATCAGTGAATGTGAATTTCAAAAAAAAAAAATAATAATAATAAATAATAATAATAATAATAATAAAATAAAAAATAAATAAATAAAAAATAAAATAATAATAATAATCTATTGAGATCTTATGATTTTTCTTTTTTAAACTATTAATAGGAGCTCTGGTGGTACAGTGCCCAAGGCATTTGACTGCTAACCAGAAGCCTGGTGGTTCAAACTCATCAGCCACTCCTCGGAAGGAAGGTTGGGCAATCTACTTCCGTAGTGATACTGCCTCAGAAACCCAAGGAGGGGTTGCTATGAGTCAGATCTGACTTGACGGCAGTGCGTTTTTTTTTTTTTTTTAACTATTAATAAATTATTAGATTTTCAAATGCTGAACAGTTTTGCATTCCTAGACTAAAAGAATGCAGTCTTCCCTTCTAGTCAGAAAAAGAACAAATGACCTGACACAAAAGGACATTATGTAGTCTGAAAACTTTCTGATAGCTTCTGAGATCAATCAGTTCTGCCAAAAAGCCTAGTTTTTCCTCTTTAGGATATATCCCATCTACCTGTCTTAAAAACTGCAGAGCAAATATCTAAGAGTTGGAGGAGAATCAGTTTGTCATTAATACAAATAATCATTTCATCAATAATCTCAGAGAGACTTTTAGAACTATTATCTAAAGGGTATAGACCTGAATTAGAAAATTCTGGTGCAGATCTGTAAGGACTTCAGGATCACTATTACTCTTAAATTAACAGCAAACTGCATTTCTGAAAAGAATAGAGGTTTATAATAAAGGGAGGCTATGTGGAGCCTAGGAGCTCTGGTAGCATAGTGCTTAAGGCATTGGACTGCTAACCAGAAGGCTGGCGGTTCAAACCCACCAGCCACTCCTTGAAGGTTGGGCAATCTACTTCTGTAATGATACTGCCTCGGAAAACCAAGGAGGGGTCGCTATGAGTCAGGGCCGACTCCACGGCACACAACAACAACAACATGTGGAGCCTAGAGGCCTTATGGCTTCTGTATAGTTAAAGCCTCCTATGGCTTAGGACGTAGAAATCAGGATTCCAAACAGTAATTTAATTTTGGTGAAAGGACTTCTGAGGGCCCTGAAGCCTAGTCCTGGCTCTTCACTTTCCATAGAATCAAAACCCTGTCACCATCTGTACATCTTGAGCATCCCTGGCACCTAGAACAAGTACCTGGTACACAGCAATATCCACCAAGAATTCCAACTTAGGTTTGAGTTGTATGGCATGTAGTGGCTGTGTCCTTATAGTTTGCATTTTATAATCACTTTCTCCTTTGCTACAATCAACTATAGTAAGAACTCCAAAAAAGATGGTTGCAGGCAATGTATACTATACCCTGAGGACGTACACAAGGCGCTTTTACATCTAAATATGTTCCCGTCATACAGAGACAAAGGTAATTTTTATTGCTGGAGCATACCTCTAAAAGCCAGTCTAGAAGAATAGATCTCATCTGTGGTTCCAAATCAGAATGCAGAACTTCAAAATGCTTGTCATGAACATATCTGGTCTCTTTTTTCAACATATTTTGCCAAACTTCATTTGCACATCCCCAGCTAAGAGAGTGGGGTAGAGTTTAAATCATGTGATCTTTATGATATACAAGCTATCTGTTTTATATAGAATAAATCCGATTTTTAGACATTGAAATCCAACTTTACATTTGAGCTTGGAAGGAAAAGCTCTTAAGGTGGGACAAAGTACTGGGGTAGGGAGTAAGTTAAGGTATCCGAGTCTACTACTTTAATTACTAAAGCCCAAAATAAGTTACTACACTACATGTTTGTAAAAGTTCTACTTCTTAGGCATACTCAAGGACCAAAACAATTGAGTATAGATCTTACTAAGCTTGATAAAGAGCTGCTACTTCAAATTAAAATATTGTACGTGTTAGAATGCTTTCATTTTAACAATTGAGATAAATTATTAACAGTCCTTTAAAAAGCTGATTTGGTTCTGCTAGTAAGTTGTATTATACTCAGCAAGTGAATCAGAAAATTTTATAGAATCAATGTGTTAAATCCCTCTATCACTTGCCAATGGCAATACTGCACTTGCAGGTAAAATGCTTGCAGGTAAAATATTTGTAAAGAAAGCTATTTGTTTTAAATGTTTTGTCCAGTTGATAAAGCAAAAAAAAAAAAAGAATTCAAAACAGCACCATATATCGGTACAATATTAGGCTTTAATATAAAATTACTGAAATTTTTCTTACCTTAAATCAGGCAAAGGTGAAGGATTAATAAAAAGATTTTTAAATCTGTAATTTGTAAATCTGGAGAAGTCACTTGTTACTACTTCTTTGTGGGGTGTTTCAATGATAATGCAAGGACTGATTCCCCCAGATAATACAGGTGGCCAACAATTCTGTCATTAAAGAAAAACAATAGGTAGATAGATATACACATTTTGTCCAATAAGAAACCAGCTTTTGTCCTGGGTATTTCATAAATGAAAGCTAGTATTTCTAAACAATCTGTAGTTTCCCCCAGACACCACTATTAACTAACACAGTTGATGATCTAGCTAATTTAATATTCATATTTTACAAGTAAGCCACAAAGTTCCTATCAGTTGTCATGAAGACTTTAAAACAAATAGACTGTTTTAAACAAAACACAATTCTGGTAAAAAATTAGGCATCGGGGGAGGGAAAGGATAGCAACTAAATTACATCTGTAGTCTAAAATACTAATCACTTTCAAGATCATAAAGTTGTAATTTTCCTTTTGTATCTATCAACATTAACAGGGGCACTGTGTTTTATAAAGAGCTTTTTTTAAAGTTAAACTTGATCAGATACTTTGGGATACTTGAAGGTATACCTCAAAGTAGAATCAAATGGCATCAGTAACTTAAAGGACTCTCTCCCCCAGCCAATTTCAAAGGGAAGCACTGTCCCTAAGGTGCTTTCTGTACAACACATAGGAAGAATAGGTAGCAATGGAATGGGTGCCAGGCTGTCAGTGATCTCACATCCTTTACGCCCAAGAGGCAGCTATTAGGACTCTCCATTATAGTCCGAGAGAACAAAGAGCAGTATATTGGACAGATTAGGCGGGCCCTGGTGCACTAGGCAGCTCCAAGAGGGAGAGATTTACAAAGAAGAACCAGCTGCTTCAAAACAAACTTACTCTGCAGCTGTAGTAGGATTCAGGGACATACAAACCACCCAAAGATAAGCACCTTCCTGCTGACCTAGTGCAGGGGCATTAAAAGTCAAAGGGTCAGAGGATTCTTTTTATTGCAAAACAGTAACGTACAATTCTGTTCTTTGTCTTATCCTGCATTTATTTTTCTCAAACCCACGCAGCCCAGTTTGGCATTACCCTAATCTCATATTGATGTTTCTTGGTGACCTCCTCTTTTCTTTTTTTGACATCCTGGAAAATAGAAAAGACACATTGGTAGACTAAAGTGACAGGCAGGAGTGAATGAATGAATGAGTCTGTCTTCCTCTGTCTCTCCCTCTCCTCAACTCACCTGGGTGGTTTTTCTCTTCTTGGCCTGGATTACCTGGCCTTCTTGAGGGGAATCCGTCTGGCTGGGTTGGGGCTGCTGCTTAGCTTGTAAACGACTACTGTGGTGAAATTTTAAAAAGGAAGTTTAATTACTAAGTCATACATTTAAAAAGAAGCAGCAAACTTTGGAACATGTCTTCAAGACAAATAATGTTACCTGCGTCTTGACATTCTCGCCTTTCAGGTGTAAGAAATCTCTGGTGGGGTGGAAGGAAAAAACCAGTCAAGTACATTGTCATTGAATTCGGGCGCCAATTAAACGCTGATTCAGAGGTTACAGCTAAGTCCCTCAGGAGATCGCTTGAGCTATTTTACCAAGCTCATTTTGAGACTATGGTAATTAATTTCGGACACATGTCTGCATTTCCTCAATTGAATGCACAGGCAGGCCGCGAGTGTCCTAAAAAATTCACAAAGCACTCCTTGCACCTCGAACGCGCAGGAAGGAGGGATCGCTTCTAAATGGATCTGTTCTGGGTCCTTCACCCTCTCCCCCTTACACCCAGAGGAGGGTTTGGGCAGCGCCCTTCCATTCCCCCTCCCACCCCGGACAAGCCTCAGAGAGTGGGGACTATGGAGGCTAAGCGCTGTGGAGAAGCGGGTTCCGCGCCAATTTGGAGAGCCGCAGTGGCGGGGAAACAGGGGGCGGAGGCAACAGAGACTTGTGTCACGTCCTCCAGACTCTTTTCCCTCCTTTCCAGCCTCACCAAGCCCTGCCTGCCGCCTGGTGGTGGTGATGGGGGCACTGGACCCCAATTCCGGATGGTGCAAGCGGGGACGGGGGAGAAGGTCAAACGGGGAAATGGGGATTGTCGGAGAACTCCTGTTCCCGTAAAGGGAACCCAGAGTCCCATCCTCTCTCCTGCCGGATAGCTCCCCAAATGGGGTGCGATGGAGTATCTCTTGAGAGTGAAAGGGTCTTCTGTGGCCTCCCACTTAGGGTGGCCCTCCATCCCCCGCCGCTTCCTCGGCCCCCTGCCAAGAGTACTGATAGGGACGGAATGCTGGGACCCTTTTTCTCCAGCTGCCTTCTGCTCGGCCCTCCAGTTTTCCTCCCTCAGGCTCCCGCCAGCGTAACGGATTAGCCCAAGGGAGGCTTTTCCTTCTCATATCCCCTACCCCCACCCGGACCTCCGCTCCAGCCCAACACCTTCTCACCGCCGGACCTGCTACCGCTCGGCTCTCAGCTGGCGCCGGCGCCAACCCAATATATAGGCCGGGCCAAGCCCGCCCCGCACGCATGCGCCTCAGACTGACACCTCTGGACAGCGCGCTCCCCTCCCCCGCGCCCGCCCGCCGGCCCGCGCGCCGCGCCCTGCCCTGCCCTCAGTCCGCGCGAGAGCCGACCAGAGGAGCCGCAGGGCCGCTTGCTCACGCTCTCATCCAGCATCCACCCGTGCTCCACTTCATCTGCCAGCTCTACCAGGCTCTGAGCAGTCTCTCAGAGGTCCCGCCTCCGCGGCCGGGCTACTCGCCGTTCAGCCACCAAGTCTCCCGCCAGTATGCTACTGCCTCCACCCCCTCAACCCGGTTCCCGATTGTGTCAGGCCGCGGCCCAGCGCAGCGTAAAGCCAAGTGGCGCCTCGACTCAGGGCAGCATAGAGTCGCCAGAAAGTGGGCATCCTGTGGCGTACCCTTGCTGTCCAGCCAAGGCCTCAGGGAACTGTGTTCTTTCCTGAAAGGGGCCGAGAAAAAGAGGGTACGCCCCCTTCGGGAGGAGCGGTGCTTTGACTTGACGATCTGGCCAATGGGAGCCGAAGACGGCCGCACAACGTGGAGCTGCTGCAGAATGTAAACACAGCCAGTGCGCGCCGCCGAACACGTGCGTCCCTGCACGCGGGACCACCAGAGGCAAGCAGTGGCCTCGCAGCGCGGCCACACTCAGGAAGAGCACCACACTCAGGAAAAGTACGTTGGACTCTGCTCCAGCCCGCCGACGAGGTAGGTGACACTTCTGTTTTCTCCGCTGTCTGCTCTGACGGTAGTGGATTAATCCATCCCGCTGCCCTGCCTCTGCCTGGCGGTTTCCCACCCTGCAGTCCTTGGGCAGGGACGATCGCGACCGTCTACGCCCTCCGTTCCTCTCTTCCCCACCTCAAATTCCTGGAATCCCTAGGGACAAAACACCTCGCTGGACCTCAGCCTGAGCTGGTAATCCCCTGCTCCTCACGAGCGCGGTGACCCTCCCTGGCCCAGCACGGCGGGGAGAGCGGCCTCCACCCTGTGTAAGCCGGGTGCTCGCTCGCCGCGCCCCGCCCCGCCGCCTCTGGCGCGCCCTGCGAAGCCCGCCCTAGCTGCCTGCGCGGGAGGGAGCCGCCAGCCTCCTGCAATAATGAGGAGGCGGGCCCGACGCTTTTCCTTTCCTCTCTTGGCATACTTAAATTTAGAGGTTCCCAAGCTGTTTCTATTAACGTCCTTCCCCAGCGCGCCCAAGACGGATTGGATGTTTCCTAATAGGACATATTGATGATACCCCGCAAACAGGCATGAGCGGTGGGCCTGGAGACACCTACAGGAACAAAGACTCCGGGTGCAGAGATGCTGTGCGAAGGCTCTGAAAGCGCAGCATCTTGGCTCTGACTCGGGCCGGCCGCTGCTGGCTTCTCTGCCCTGGCCCGGACTAAGCAGGTGGGAAAGGGCCGGGAGACAGGGCGGCCAGAGCTGGCGCGGCGTTCGCGCCAGGCCGAGGCGGGGAATCCTTTCCCGAGATGCACCGGAGGCGGCAGCAGAGCGGCCTGCAGCGCCCCCGCCCCGCGCCTTTTGTGCTGTACTTCTGGTGCTGGCGGGCGAGCCTAGTAATACCGAGCGCTTTCGGGCGGGCAAAGTTCACATTGAACAATTTCCATTCTAAACGTATTTGTAACGTCGTTAAAATAATTACCTTGTTTCTGGGCCAAGGGTCATAGAATCAGAAGAGGCTAGTATCTTGTCAGTCCCGAAAATCTTGCGTACTATTTATAATGCTTATGATACCTCCCACAGGGCCACCTGCTGAACCTACTGCCATCGAGTAGATTCCGATTCATAGCGGCCTTGTAAAACGGAGTAGAACTGCCGCATGGGGTTTCCAAGGCTGTGAATCTTTAGGGAAGCAGACTGACTCATCGTTCTGTGGAGTGGCTGGTGGGTTCGAACCACCGACCTTTTGGTAGCAGGTGGATGCTTTCACCGTTGTGCCACCAGAGTTCTTAGGGCAGACACCTTAACATGCTGTTACCATACAAATCTAAGATCTAAGCATAATGGGAAGGAACGGGAGATCTTCCAACAAGCTTGTGTTACCTGAGCATAAGCAAAAGAGATAATCGAAATAAAAAGATAATCAAAATATACTGAAAGTCAGGGATGTCAGTTGACATCTGTGGAGTTACTCTTTGAATATTGTATGCCCAGCACTAGGCTAACAAATAAATTAGTTGTTGTTCTGGTTACCTAGTGCCGCTATGACAAGAATATACCACAAATGGGATGGCCTTAACAAACAGAAGTTTATTCTCTTACAGTTTGGAGGTGTTACGTCCAAATTCAAAGTGCCAGACTTTGGGAGCTGGGTGAAAGCCCCTTGACCTTGGGGTTCAGCTCTGCCTCCTACTCCCAGCCCATTGGACCTAGAGACTTTTTTTCACTCAGATAGCTGCTGGCAACTGAGGCTGACAAGCCCAAGGTTGACAAATAAAAAGGCACAGTCCTGATATTACCAAATCACATGGCAGGCAATTCAAGTCCATTGTAAGTCCCAAGGTCAGCAGAGCATAGCAGGCCACTGAGCAATGACAAGGCTACATGCAGGGTCCAAGTGTGCCCTAAGCTAGAGACCATTTCCAAAGCTGTTTCTTATATATGGGAAGCAGCTACTCAGGTGCTTGTGGTAGGTCTCACCATAGAGTGATTGCCAGTCTCATCATGGGGAATAACTACCACCAGCTGCCCAGCCACTCACCCAGGCCTAGCCACGTTTACACACAAACTTAACTACCACAGTTGTCAACAAGACACTGTACTTAGAAATGTACTTTGATGTTTCCTTGGACTATTAAGTGAACAGAATTGCAGTCATTGTTAAAGAGAAATTAGAAACACTGTCAAGACTGCTTTGTGTGGAAGTTAAGTTCTGCCTTGTTATAAGTATCTGCAGGGTCAGAGTGGGGCTGTGGAAAGAATCTGGGCTTCTCCGATGAACCTAGGTTGCAATGCTGCTCTATTGCAAGTTATTGAATCCTTCTAAGCCTGGGCTTCCTCTTATAGAAGAAATTGGAGGAGATACTCATCTCAAGAGTTGTTTTGAAGATTAAATTTGATAATATAGAGAGAGATCCTTTCTCAAATATGTACCTGTCACAGAAGAGATGCTCAAATACCGCTACCTTTTCTGTCCATTTCCTTATGAGTTTGTACCCATAGAAATTAAGTAGTTTCTCAGGATTCTGAATAAAACAGAAAGGTGAATTTTAAAATTGTCATTTCTCAGAATTTTGTTCAATTAGTCATCCTCTTTTGGGTATACAGGCAAAATCTTTCAATGTCCTCTTCATTTCATATTTTTACACATTTATTTTTAATTCCCTCTTTCCCACCCATCCCAATTTTTAAAATCCACCTACTATTGAAGGAGATCTGGTGACGTAGTGGATAAGGCATTTGGCTGCTAACCAGAAGGTCAGTGGTTCAAACCCACCAGCCACTTCATGGGAGGAAAATGAGATGGTCTACTTCCATAAAGATTTATAGCCTTGGAAACCTAGTGGAGGTTGCTATGAGTTGGAATTGACTTAATGGCAATGAGTTTGGTTTGGTTTTTTATTGAAATTTGGTATTTTCTAAAGTATATTTTCTCATAGCATATGCAAAGTTAAAACACCATATAAATAATAAATAAATGATAAATAAACTATTGGCCTCTGCTCTGCTCTTGCTTGCCATCAATTTTGATCACTTCCACATTCATTTTCAGGGAAAGAAACAAAACAAAACCCATAATACAGGAAAATTCTTGGAGGCACAGCCTTAAGAAAATCAGGCCCAGTTTAAATGTTTCTTGCTTCAGTGTTCGTTCTTTGTTGCACCTCCTCTGTGATGCCTTCCCAGATCACTCTCTCTGTGTTCTACAATTATCCTTATCATGTTGTTGTTGTTATGTGCTGTGGGGAATCAGATCTGACTCATAGGGACCCCTCCTTGGGTTGCCAAGGCATATCGCTACGGGAAGTAGATTGCCCAACCTTCCTTCCGAGGAGTGGCTGGTGGGTTTGAACCGCCAGCCTTCTGGTTAGCAGTCAAGTGCCTTAGACACTATGCTACCAGAATACAAATTGCCTTTAAAATGTCTTTTATCTCCAGCGAGGCCTTGGACCATATTTTATCTTTTTATAGCTGGCACCCAGCATTGTCAGAAGCATATATGATAGGACCTCTGTAAATGCAGAATTGAATTATGCAATAGGCTATCATATTATAGAATTAAAATCTTTAGGCTAGAGTGATAAATAAGAAATGGTTGATAGAATTATTCCCAATTGGTACCAGGGTGTTTTTTTATTGGTAGACTTTATTTTTTAGAACAGTTTTAGATTTATAGAAAAATTGAGCAGGCAGAACAGAGTTCACATACACAGTTATTATTAACATCTAACATTAGTACGGTACATTTGTTACTGTATGATACATTTATTATCAATGAATCAATATTTCATGCTTATTATGAAGTAAAGTCTATAGTTTATTCAGATTTCAGTTTTTCCCTCTCTACTGTTTCAGGATCTTATTCAGGATCCCATATTACATTTAGCTGCTAGACTTTTCCCTTTTTTTGATGACCTTGACAGTTTGAGTACTAGTCAGATGTATTGTAGGATGCCCCTATATTGGAATTTATCTGCTGTTTTTCTCCTGATTTTTATGGTTAGCAGCCAAATACCTCAAATCTGGGGTTACAGATTTTAGGGAGGAAACTTACAGAGGTAGAATACCAGTTTCCTCCTATCATATCAAGAGTACATACTATCCACAAGATTTATGACTGTTGATGTTGACCTTGATCCCCGGGCTGAGGCAGTGTTGGTTGATCAGGTGTCTCTACTGTAAAGTTACTCTTTGCCCTCACCTCCTTTCCATACTGTACTTTTTGGGAGGAGATCACTACGTACAGCCCTTTAGGACAGCACTTCAGGAGTGAGAGTTATGCTCCCATCCTTTAGGGTGGGTAATCTACACAATCTATTTGGAATTCTTTTGCACAGGA